AGGAATCCAATGGTAACAATCTTCATAGTGTATTTTTACTAATGGGCTGCCATATTGGATTTCAAAATGGCCGCCATTTGAAATCTACATTTGCCATTATCTGTGGGTCAAAATATGCTGCTATTTACTTCATTTTGGAGTCTAAATGTATGTTTTGGGGGGCAAAGAATCCTATGATACCAATTTCACAATCCAATGCACAATTCTAATGCAGAAATCTAAATCAAATGCACAAATTAAAATTCTAATGCACAAATCTAATCCAATGCACATTTCAATGCACAATCCAATGGCACCAATTTCAACGTAATGTGTTATCTTTCGCACTCTGTTACATAAAATGATCTAGGAAAATATTAGAGTGAAGACGATACTTTGAAAAGAATGATTATATGAAAGCATGGTGATTGATTGATTGGGTATGTGTTTCACGGCACTATCGACTCAATTTTGAAAGCATATTAAAAGGGTGTAAAGGTCTTAAGTCTGTAAATGTCTTAGGTACAATTCTGACATGCTACACGGTCTAATTTCTGAGGCTAGGTGTATACTGACATTCTTCAATGGTCTGGTATCTGAGGCTAGGTAGATATCGGTACTGAAGATGCATGTACATAAACAATGTCATGTTAACAGGTTCAGGACTGTCACAAGTACATGTATTTTGAGGACTCATCGTCCTGTGCAGTCCCCACCATACACACAGAGGGCAGTCGTCTTGTATTTGCAGAGCCTCACACACGATAAATGGCATTTGCAAGAAACCAGCCCAATGCAGATGCAGCTATGAGCTGCCTCGGGTAGCCTGGTCCAGTATGGTGTGTACTGTCCTCCAGTCATTGGCCAACCCTAGTTGGTTGGTGGAGGGAGCTCTGGTGCTGGCAAAAGTATCTCACTCTCACCCCACACATTTCCACCTCAATACACTCCCCTCTTGACATGTTCCTCTAAAGCTGCCTTCGTTAGAGGGATCAGCTGCACGTCGTTCTTCCTTGCGAAGAGTTTCCTCCAGGCCGTGGCATTGTCCGTGCATTTGCTGGTTCGGTCATCCAACAGGATGATGGACATTGCATCGTTCGGCATGTCACGTGGTGCGGAGGACAGCAGCAGCAGCGCCTCAGTGAGTTCTGGCCGTACCGTCCAGACTGCCCACGCAGTCTTCTTGCCATATGGGATGGAGATCTGAGGAGCATGCTCTGGTCTTTAAATGTCTTTAATGCAGTCAGCTTCAGCATCTGGACGATGGATGCTCCATCAAAAAATATACAGGTAGTGATAGGAGTCTCTGTCTTGGCATCGGAGATTTCTTCCAAGTCCGTGACGAGATTATTCTTGGTACAAGTGAAGAGGTTTCCACCAGCAGACAGTGCAGGAGGACATGCCAGATCTTGTGACGGCAGAACTCCTCAAGGTTTCCATCCCTCATCTGCCCGCTAATGTACAGGCGTGCGACGAGTTCACGGTCATTTTTGACTCGATTTGAAAAAAGGAATCTCTTCCACACCCCCAGTCTCCCAACTAAGCTCTATTTCCCCCCGTGTTTTTTTGTGCTTTGTTTTGTTTGTTTTTTTGTTTTTTTCCCTTTCCTATTCCACCATTTTTTCCTCTTTTTGTCCACTTTTTTTCCATTTCTTTAAAAAAAAAAGAAAGAAAAAAATGCACCAAAAAAACCCCCAACACTTTAGCACCAGGGCCCAGGAATAAAATCCTTTTCACATTACAAGTACCTTCAGCAGAATGGTCGTTCGCGTCATCAAATAAACAATGTTGTTGCTAAGCAACTGAAAAGGTGGAAAGGTGTTGGGAGGG